TGAGCAGCACCGGGCTCTTTGGTTTTAAAAGTATTTCGACCGTATCGGATAATGCGCCGGCGGTCACGGTCAACCGTTGGGCGATCGGAGTGTGCGGTTTTTGGAGCCGACCTTTTCTAACCCGTCCTTCCTCGGGGGGAAGGCCGCATCGCTGCTTCCATAAATATGGACATGCTGGTCACCTGGGTGAAACAACTTACTGCCTTCACACTCCTGTCGCAGAGGACAGTACGACTTTACCCCCAGACCGCCTCGTACCACGATTACTCGTAGTGCGGGGTCTCGCTGCTCTTGGTCTGGCTGCTCCCCTTTGGCCTTCCTGGTATGGTTAGACCTTGTGGAACGAAGTTCCAGCCAGTGTAGCCCGCGGGATCATTGCAGCACTCAAGCCCGACCACCACGTCAAGGTGTCAGCTTTAGGTCGGGAGCCCGCCAGATGACATAAACCAGACCAAGACTCCAAGCTAGGCCTTTGAAAGTAACAGCCTCCTCATTTGTGGGTCTGTTTCACTCAAATCCTGTTAAAGCAAATAAAACATGTCCAGTTTAACTGTTTCAAACGAATGACCGGACCCAAACACCTAGTGTGACACTTTTGACTTGTAAAATATCAAACGATATGTTAGTGTTAAAAACATAGTGCTCCCACCACATGTATACGATTCCACAAAAACAGCAGTGGTTGAAAGCAAGTGTTTGCATTCCCGATTCTGCGCAATGATCAATTTTCACATCTCTACGGTACATGCGGTAGCACTTGGGTAATGTATGCTCTGCCCTTCGTTGATAGGCTACCAACAGGCTGGTGCCAGTAGTGACTGAGCTGAGAAAGCTTATTTGGTCGTTTGGTTTGTTGGCAACTGGCCAGGTCTTGATGAGCCCATCTACTCAATGAGATACATAGTCACTGAAGGTGCATACAATACGTGGAGGAAATCAAATAAGTTGCCGAAAAAATCAAGCTGAGGTTCCGTTTCTGAGGAGGTGAGCAAGTGAACTTGTCCAAATGGGGTTCGTTTCTCTATCTTCGTACTAAATTTCATGCGTGGATTCAGGTCACTCAGATGGATGTAAAACTAACTCACGTGATCTCATCTACATAACGCCAGAATGTCTTGGGATGCATGGGAATCCGGCTAAAGCTGTCTGTGCGAAATCCCCCGTAAAATATTTACCAAAAGCGGGGGTAATCTGGATCCTGTTTCTGGGCCTTGTTCTTGAGTGTAAACCAAGGAGTCAAAAACAGAGATTCAAGCATATTTTTATACCTTCCACTATTTAGTCTACCGTAAGCAGTCTGTTCTGAAAGGGTGGTGTATGCTAGCAGCAATCAGTTGGCTATTTCTAAAAAGTCCACTTTAGGTGCATTTTCGTAAGGCGAATTGAAATCGGAACTTACAAGAATGTCATCTCGTTCTACGGTAAAACCCGCTACTTTGCTGGCAAAGTCATATACATAAATACCATATTTTTCGGCGAGGGGGTTAAGAATACCCGCCAAGAATCTAGCGAGCCAATGGGGTGGAGAACCTAGTCCGTCTACTAACGGATCACCGGAACGTCTGGCTCAGATTTTTGGTAGGTCATGAAGCCGTGGTTGGATTACGCTTTTGGTGCACAATCGATACCACTAAGTAGCTTATCATGGACTGCAAGCACCTGTCATCTTCAAATTTACTCCCATGCATTATAGACGTAATGTTCCCATCATCGATCTGCCGGTAAGGGCCCTCAGTCGGGTGTTGCTTAGCCTTCTGTACACATCCACTCTTGTCCATGATGGCGATGGCCTTACCCATACCCGCCGCTGTAAGCACTGTTGTCCACCTGTTTTATGGTATTTGACGCTCTCCGCACTGCTGGGATTTATGGTCTGTGACCAACTATACACGTAGCTTCCCCAAATCCATTGAGAGAAAATTCTGAAACATTGGATGCCAGGAATTATTTAATCCACCCTTATGACCTTTTCACTCAGCGAAATTAGGGCCCTTCTCTAGCAGACAGTGTTCTTTGTCAATACTTGATAAATCTACCACGCTACAATAGTCAGTAGGTGGTTCGCTTTGATGGAGGAAATCGCTGAGCATCACAGTGAATGGAATAGAAGGAATAGAAAATGCATATGGAGAACGGCTTTAGATCAGTCGACCTGAGACGCGGTAGTGTGCGGTAGTTACCAAAGAGAGATCATCAACAGAAGTAGCTCAGATGTATCAATCCAACCAAAAATTACACCAACATCACCACTCCCCAGCTAAGTTGTCATGGCACCTATAAACCTACACAGACCGATAAAATTTACCAGTGTAACCCAAGGTGGATCATCAGCTAAGGTGCCTTGAGCCGGAAGATCAGGGATCGAAACCCGATCAGAAATGATTAGAAATTTCATCCAATCAACCGTAAGTTTTGGGTAACCACACTAACCGGCAAGATCTTTTAATTGACATTCCACACCGATTTAAAGTGCTGATTGGTTCATCGTCTGCCTTAAATCCCAG